TTTCCTGGTCCACAGGATGTAGGGTGTACTATGCCCACATCTGTAGGACACCCGGACCAAAAACGGAATATATGTTTAAGCCCTAACATGTAGCAAATCAGGACAACAAAAACACCTATTTTCTGTTGATCACTACATTTAAAATGAATCTCTTATCTAATTCAGCAATTTTTCCCTGCACATTTTTTTTCAAATTTTTAAAACTATATTATAATGCAGATAACAAACTTTCACTAACACAAGGAAGTGGAAATACTTGTTAGATTAAGAAAATCTATAATGCAGTAACATACTATATTCTTTTTTTAAACATCTTATTTCTTGAAGTATATACTATATTTCAGAAGTAACACTCTTACAGACTAAAAAACATAAATAAAAAAATGTTTCTACTGTCAGGAGCAGACTGTACAATCTAATAAACCAAGTTAAATCAACTTCACTGAAGCTAAAACACAATATGTTCCCCAGCGTGGCTCCTTATATTTTCCTCCCTACCTGTGTCTTACATCACTTTCCTGGTATGTGATGAGTGGGAGTAAGACAGTAAGGAAGAAGTCCACAGGTGGAAAAATAAAACCAGGAAGCATCTCCAGGAGGAGACTTACTGAGTTTGGAGAACCTGGGGGATCTTGGCCTGTTCTGACCAGAGAGCGCGGGCTTTCTGTTTCAGGGGAAAGGGCCCATTGCTTTCCATTCCGTTAAATTCCAAACACCACTGCCCCCTAGATGCAATTCCCCTCTGCCCATGCTGAGCTTCACCCATCGCTGCACTGGTCCAAAGTCTTTTAAATCCAGCTCTCGTTGCCCACTTCCATCCCCTAAAGTCTTCATGCCCCGGATGTATTCCACAAAAGGGAAGCCCAGGGTCAAGGCCTTGGACAATTATTTCTCAATTGCATACTTCTTCTCTCTAAAAAGTAAAAACTCTTAATAGTGACCCAACTGGTGGTATTCAAACTTCAAGAACTCTTTATGTGCTCAACTAAATCTTTCCATTTGTAGTGAGTGTGCAAGCAGCTGAGATTTGCTTTCTCCTTCTCTCTCCCTGGCAGGCCATTTCTGAGGAGCCATCTGAAGGTGTCTCGCCTGATTCACTTCCAGATTTGGAAGGTATCCCAGACGTCAGACAACACAGGCATTGTGGATGAAGACTGAAAAGATGTCAAGAGTAAGACCTGTGCATTCAGAGAAAATGAGGACGTGGGCAGTGGGATTTTCTTAAGGTTCCTGAGAGAGTATTTCCTCCGGCTCAGTGGGGAGCCCTGGACAATGAAAGCCTGTCTGTCTCCTTCTTCTGTGCAGCATGCTGCCCAGCTGCACTAGTCTAGCTCAGGGTAGGTGCATCCTTCCCATGGAAGCCCACACAGAGAACATAGAGCCCAGATGCTGTGCTCTTTGCAGACTTCAGCCCGGTTTGTGCCCTTCTGCCTGAAATGGGAAGCTACGTTCCTTCCACAGATTGAGAAAGGGAAGTCCTGTGTCAGACAGTATCATTCTTCAATCAGGGTAGCTGTGATAGTCGGCTTTCCATCACTGTGACAAAATACCTGAGAGAAACAACTTTGGAGGCTCACACCACGGCTTCCAGAAAGTGGAAAAGAAGACCTGACTTTCTCCAACTAGAACCCACTTCCTGGGGCCAGGGATTTAGCTCAGCAACACAGCACCTGCCTGGCAAGTGCAAGTTTGTGAGTTTGATTCCTGGTACTGGAAGAAAAGCAAACAAACAAACAAAAAAAAAGAACCCACTTCCTAAAGGTTCACCACTGCCTGACAGTCCCATCATTTGGGGGGCAAATGTTCAATACACAAACTTTTGGGGGACATTAAGATCCGAACTATAATAGCAACTGTCCTGGGAGCGTCATGAAATGGCTTCTTTTACTTTAGAATCTTGGAGACCAGATACTTTTGCATCTTTTCAAAGGTGCCTGACCTCAAGAATAAGAATCACTGCTAAACACTTAGTGAAATAAGACTGCTTTATGTCAGGTCGTGAAAACAGTTCTAGATGGCTGCAAAGGAACATGGAGAGCACCTCGAATTAGGAGCTCAGTGACCTGGGGCCTTATCCTGTATTTTCCCCGAACTCATCTCTGGAAGAACACTGCTGAACTGGAAAAACTTCCAGGCCCTCTCACGCACTGTGCCCCTATTTCATGAAGGGGCTACACATCAGATGCAGGTAAATGGCCCAGGACCCTGACTGGCTCTACAGGGTAGAGAGAGGGACAGGCCAGAGCCGAGCAAGCAGAGGAGAACCGGAGCTCATCCGCTACTTGTGTGGAACCTTCCCTCTTTTGCTTTGTTGCTGTTACATTTGTGCCCAAAATGTAATCATGCCCAGCGCAAACAAGCTGGGAAATAGAAGTGTTGCATGATGCAAATAACTGCCTGAAAGAGGTCTCAGAACAACTACTGTTATGATGTAAGTGTCTCTGCCCTGTCTTCACTCTGTACTTGAGATTTCTCCCCATGACTGCAGGAGCTGTAGAGGTAAGTGTTCTGCTTTCTAAGCTTCAGACTGCAAGGAAGGTGACTCCTCAGAGCCCAGGAACTGAGTACGATTCCGCATGTGGCGTGAAGAAGACGGGTTCTAGTACTGGGCAGGCTGCCAGAAGTGAGCTAGAACTTGCTCTTGGGTAGATTCCTTAATCCTGTGGCTACTTTGTGTGGGAAATGGGGATGATAACATGTAGCTTCTAGGGTTAATGAGGATGAAATACAATAACACATGGAAAATATTCAGTACCTAAATACTCAATATACGCTTACCAGCCTGTAATAACTAGCCCCATATTTCACTATTGCATGACCAAGAGGGGAAGGAAGGTGTGATGGCTGTGTTTAGATGCCCCCTCAAAGCCTCATGTGGTCACAGGTGAAACGTTTTCAGAGTTGGCTGGATGTGGAGTGTGACTGATGCATGGTACACGCTCGGATTAAGGGCGGGTGATTACTAAATCAGTCCACTGATCGGTTTGGTACCACCGTAATCTCGGCAGCCTAGATAGAACATAAAAGGGGCAGAATAAAGCTGTCAAGGACTCTTGCTTGCTCGCTTTTGCTGTTTTCTGCCTGCCATGAACTGTTTCTCCTCTATGATGCCCCTCTGTCATGCCACCCTGCCTTGGAGCCAGCTGATTATAGACTGAAACCTCCACAAACTGTGAGCTAAATAAACCTTTCCTCCTTTAACTTTGGGTGTTTTTTGTCTTAGCGTGAAAAAAGTAAGACAGAAAGGATCAGGAAAATTAGCATAAAGTGTTACTCACTGATTTTTTTAAAATCTGTAATTATATCCCCCTACACAGCTAAAAGAATAAGACTATATGTGTACCCATTCCCCTAAATGAACATAACCACCGTGTATTACAAACATACACTAATGAGAAAGAGCTATCAGTTCATAGTAAAACCACAAATTCTCAACTGTCAGAAAAAGACAGGAACTAAAAAGTGGCAACAGACAGGAGTTTAATGGAAGGACATTGCCCAAGGGCTGGGCAGGGAAATAAACAAGGGATGGTGAGGCACCTCTGGGGCTGGCAGGAGTGGGAGTCATTGTCACTGCTAAGACAGCAAGAAAGAAGTGGTTACCAGGCCGGACAAGAGCTCCAGGGGCACCAGAGGGGAGAGGCACCGCCATGCTGTCCACACAGCCTGCAGAGGTCCGCTCTCTGGGCCTGGAAAGAGCACAGACAGGCAGCTGGGCCCTGGGGAAGCTCACGGAGAAAGCGCTGCATGTCACTGGCTTCTTGGCTGTGAGATTCCCGTTATCCATGGCATCCATGCATTTACTCATCAAATACCATTTGGAAATCTGCCGCCCTCATTTACAGACAGAACACAGAGCCAGGTATCACCTCACACCACATGCCCCATCCCTGCGCACGCCTGAGCCGCGACCCAGACCACAACACTAACAGCTGACTGCAGGGAAGCAATGGGTCCTGAGGTCATGCTAAGGGAGGTAAGCCAGGCACAGGAAGTTAGATATGGCATGGTTTCTCCTATACGGACATCACAATGTAAACGAAGAGTAAAATAAAGGCAGGATGGTGAGAAAACAGAAGGCAGCCTTTCGGCAAATGGGGAAGGCGATCGCGGCAGCAGGAGGATGGGAGTAAGGAAGGGAAGCAAAGGGATCAAAAATGATCAAGATGTGGTGCATACGTATCAATTCTCTGAAACAAGCATAACCGTCATGCACTGTAAGCATACATTAATAAAAAGGACCTGTCAGTCCATAGTAAAACCATAAATTCCCAAATGAATGGTATTTAGTCAACTCAAACAATAAAGTATATATTGCTTTATTAACATTAAATTAACATTTCTAATAAAAGGAACTGTGGTTTTTTGTCAGTTACCTCTCTTTGGTTTAGGTGACAACGTTGTTATTTCGTGGTTAACACTACTGGGAAATACGAGAGGAGAACTAGAAGAGCACGAGGTGGCAGTGTTAGGGCTCATTAGCATCTGATGATAAGTTGTGGGACGTAGTTCTGCCTGGGGAGGTATCACCGTTCCTCGGAGCTCATCGGGCCTGAGAAGGCAGCTCAGCCTCACCGGCAAGGAAGATGAGGGCACTGTTCAAGGGGCAGGGAGACGCCGAGGAACAGGCAGTCAAACGGACATTTCTAGGGACAGAAAATCGTCATTTCCCCCAGCCATGCCGGGTGACCCACGCCACACCGCTTTTCTCACACTGAGAAGAAACCACAGCCACAGACTGTAATGGGAGCACAGCTTAGTGGTGGATTTCTTGTTGGCATGTGTGATGCTGTCGTATATTATAAAAACACGTAGTTGTGTCAAAAATTTCTTCACTTACATATTTAAATATTCCTTATTACCCGCCACATTTTCTTACATTTTGAGGTGTTAGTATATAACTAGCCTTTTCAAGAGAAGCTCAAACCTCTGGTGAATCATCTTTGAATTATCAAGCCTGTTGTTAATTTATAGAAAGGCAAGGGAACTGTATATTCAGGAGCTTGTTTTAATTTGATTTTGTTTGTTTCTGTTTCATGTATATGTTTATGGTTAACACCGGCAGCCACTGCCACCTGGAAAGCCCTGTTCCTTAATTTCCAGTTTGGACAGAGGTGAAAGATGACAGATTTGGCAGAAAGCACAAACGGTAAAAGATAAGGCCCTTGAGAGATCTCCTCCCTCTCCCAGTGCCAGGCTGACCCAGGGCTGGCAGATAGGCATCAGGGGTTTGGGGTGTTTTGGTGAGTGTTCAGAGATAAGGACCTGTCTGGGAAGGAGCAAGAATGAATGGAATCTAACCGGTTTATTTATTACCATGGAGGTGGGGGTTGAATAACTTCACTCTAGGTTTATTAGAATTTCCAAAAGGTTGTCTAAGTCATACTGAATGCAAACTGTTGTGGTTTTCTCTTCCTCCTGAAGCTTCCTGATTGGTCACCAATTCCACAAGTTCCTGTGTGACCTATCTCAGTGCTTTCCCAAGGCTCTTTGTTATAAAGAGTGATTCACTGTGTCTTTTTTTGAAAGGAAGTATTGGGCTTCAGCATTCGAGCCAACTCATAAGTCATGAGAGCGTTTTCAAAAGCTATTACTTACCACATGGTTACAGGGGTTTAAGAACCCGCCACCGCGCTGCTGGTCTAAGAATGGGATTCCAAACGGGAAAAGGAGTTTAAATACTTCTGCAGATCCGTCCCTCATTCCCAGGCCTCTGCTTCTGCCTGAAACACAAATATTTGTTTCTAAAGCTTTAGAGTAATTTGGTTGGCTTTCTTTGACAGTGTTTTCACGCTTCTGGACTTTGTTGTCTCAGACAGTAGGTTATTACTAGCAATATCAGGACGTGTGACCCGATACCACTGTATACCACCATAGAAGCAGGCTAGTAGCTAGACCATGTATTTCTCAATAGAAAGCAGGAACTAGTCTCTTTCCTCTAATTTTCATGTCTAGAACTACATATATGTCAAGAAAGGATCCCTACCAGGTGCTATTCAGAGACAAAGAAGGCTCCTGGATTTTAACATTCTCTATTTGGGGATCTTTTAAGAATGGGAGAGGGGGGGAGGGGGAGGGGAGGGGAGGGATAGGGAGAATTTCTGCTCTCACATCAAGACAGCACATTTAGTGGAGAAACAAGTAAGAAGGTAAATTTTAATCAAGAAGTTAAGTTCCAAAGCATCTGCTTTTCTCAATTTGTTGATTTCATGCACAAGGACACAGTGAATACGTGGGGACAGTTCTCCAAAGCAGCTTAAGGATTTGTGGATTTTCATCTCAATAAAACCCACACATTCCGATGTAATTAGAAGGTTTCGTTTTTATGTTCTTAAAGAACAACTTACACTCTTCCTTCTCCCAGAAAATATTTTAGCAGTTTTCAAAGAAATACATGTACACAATAAGGTTGTTAAAATACACAGAAAATCAAGAAGCATATAAGAGGAGATGTTTAAAATAGCTACTGTAACTGAACATTAAATGTAATTCTGAGCTTCCTGGCAGTCTGGGGAAAGGGGAAAAACAATGGGTTTTATTGTTTTCAGCGTCTCATGAAAGAGCATTTCACTGCCTCAGAGGGGACTTGCTTTTTCCTGAGTTTTATTTTGAAGGAAGCTGCCTCCAATGAGCCCTTATATGAAAAAAAGGGACTTAACGTGCTTCTTTTCATCCCGAAGCAAAACTTGTAAGCACAAAACTAGAAATAAACTCAAGCACAATGAAAAGCGGCCACCCATAGGGTAGGAATAATGAAATCGGCATATTCTTTAAAAATCATCTCAAGACTGCAGGCCACGCGTAGTCTGGATGTCCTAGAGGGTAATGCTTCCTTAGCATCAACTTTTCAATTTCTACAGTGTTGGTTTTCATTTATTTTGAATAAAACAGTGGCAAAGAATGGCATTCACTTTCTGAATTGGTATGTTTTAGAAATTCTGAGAAGGCAGAATTCTACAATAAAGATGTACAAAACTGGGTATGATAGCATTTTACAAAGCAAAAGCCCCCCAACTATTTTTAATTTGATATGGAAAGAAGTTTTCTCTTATATTATGTTATTACAGTTCACCACTGGTACCACTGCCTGTTTGGTTTCCTTTGCTTTTGAGAATGTAGCGAGACAACGACCCTCCTTATCCACACAGAGGAAGCTAAAGTTTTAAAAACGGCCGGAGAGCTGGCTGATCTCCGCAGTTCCCTGTCAGGAGAGAGTCCATGTGGGTTTCTGCTCAGCGGCAATGCGTGATATCTAGAGATCAAGATGGTTTCCGGCGGGCTCACGCTGAGTCGCAGGGGAGAAAATGACTCTGCTCTCCAAATTTAACTTAATTGGCATTGTGGGAAAACTTCTTTTCCACAAGACAGCCCACGATGTGTACCCAGTATAAACCAAGGACTATTGTCCAGAGAGCTAAGGATGGGTGTGGCTTTGTACTACAGTCTCTAGGATGCACCATCTCATTAACTAAGTCACTCAGCTCAGCGACATTACCCCAGGGCTGTGCGCCAAGGAAAGCAAGAATGCAGAAAGAAAGGCGTGTGCTGCTTTTGATCTCCCACGTATGTAAATGATTCCATTGTCTTCCTCTTAGAGCCTGCATCTTGTTGTATCTTGGATGGAGCTGCCTTATTTTAATAACTGTCAAAACTCCAAGAACAGTCACCTTTCTAGTTCTTCAGAAAATCTCTCGGATCATTACGATTTCTCAATATTCTTAGCACTATGCCAATCACTGAAAGAGTTATTAAAGCATTTACTCTTTCAAGTATGCATTGAGTGCATTTTAAAAGAACCAACCAGTGCTAATTTCTGCGGGCTTTTCTTCCTCTCATTCTATGCCCATTGATTAATCTACACTGATCCCTGTACCTGTGTTTTGGGAGCTTTAATGTGTCGTCATGCTTTCTCCCTCCCCGCATTTCACTATTTTGCTGGTTTCTCCTCACTAGTTAGCGAGTTCCACTGTCAAACTGCAAGACTCACTAGTAGGGTCTCTGCTCCTTCCCTTTGAACGACAGAACACAGTAGCTATGGTGCTGTTATATCACTTTCTTCTGTCTCTCTCTCCGGTCCACAGAATCATGACTACAAACATCATAATAATGCACTGTAATTTTTAAACCACTACATTTTAGGGTCATTCCTCATACAGTAATACATAACCAGGCTGTCAATATTTAAAGCTGAATTCCCAATATCGATTCAGTTACTTTTAGGCACTTAGGGTTAGATGGTTCTTAAATCTAATTTTAACATCTATTTTACATTTTTAAAATTCACAAAAAATGACCAGACAGAACGTCCATTTGGGAAACAACACATTTGGTGTGAAATCGCAGCCATCTATGCACGAATTATGTAAACTTGGCCACGCCTAAACACAGGTAAAGTACGGAACTAGAAGGCCGAGTGCTGGAGAGATGCCTGCTCCTGCTCACCTCACACCTCTTCCCTTTCTCTTCCGCGTCATTGCAGTAGGATGGACTAGCGCAGGTTTTGCAGAAAGCCCTGCAGGGGGCGGAGGTAGAGGCAGCTCAGTGGTGTAGTGCGGGCTTAGATTCATGAAGATTCAGGAAGTCCTCGGTTCCCTGCAGCACCAAAAAGAGGCATGCAGTTCCAGCCTATGAGTTAATGTGTGGGCCTTAGAACAGTCACTTAAAATATGAATCTCGGTTTTCTCAGCCGAATTACTGGGGTGATTAATTGAAACAATTTATACCACGTGTCCAGCACAAGTCCTGGCACATAGCAAATATTCTGTAGAAGTCGCTATGGTCATCATTATTATGATTTCTGTCAAGCACAAATGTTAATAAGACCATAAGACCAATATAAATTTCATCGTGCTTTTGGGGAGTAGAGAAGGACATTTAAATCATTTTACATATACTCTGTGATATGTTTCTCTTCTTCCTGAAAGAGAAAGAGGTTACCACACGATGTCCGCACTGGACGGGAGCACCCCTCTCAGAAGCCGCATCCTTCAATGTCTGTGATGCACACTGGGCCGCAGAGTCTGTGCCCTCCGTGAGTGAGCTGTAAAGAGAGAAAGAAAAGCGTTTCTACTTTAATCACCTCCACTCTTCCTCCTATTTTTCTCTGTCATGACCACAATGTCTCTTCTTATCTCAACATCCTAGCTCAGTCCTGCAAATATGTTTCTTTTTTTTTTTTAACCAGGACCTTTCAAGCACAATCTGTACAGAGAATCACATTTCTTCTACATCAGAAAACAGAGGGAGGGAGATCAGCTAAGATGGGCAAATACAGAGCATGTCCCTTCGGGGACAGAGACCTGCTTACTCTCAGCCTTTTGGAATGGAGCTGGCTGCTATGTTTGTGAAAGCTTTAGAAGCCTTGTCATTGTCATGAATGAAGTATTGAACAGGAAATTCTCCTGCCTTCATTTTCTGGATTGGTGCTGTGGCTATGCCAGGGCTTCCCTTTGGGGGAGAGTTTGGGATCCACAGGAGACAGGTTTTGCTCCATCAGTTTCAAGAGCTGATTTGGAAAATGCCCCGTTGGTTGGGTGGTGGGCGGCCTCTGCACTTCCCATCTGTGCATCTTTCTGAAAGCTTGTGCTCTGGGGAGAGGGAGAGGCTTGTGCAGAAAATGCAGGGCTGTTCTTCAGTCAGAGAGGTGTGGGTCCCTGGGGTCCTCTGCTAGGACTTTCAGATCCATGAACCCAAACCCAAGCAAAAGAACAGTCTTGGGGAGAGAAGTATGTCTAAGGGTGGCATGCGGGGGGTCCGTTCTTAGTCAGGGTGGGTTCTCTTTCCTCTCTACCGTGAGCCCTGCCTTGTACATCTTCTGTCTCATTTCACATCCTCAGTGACAGGAGTCAGAAAGAGCTCTGTTCGTGTCCTACATTTGTACTCTACCTGCTCAATAAGTGCTGGAGCTTCAGTTCTCACACTGCAGGATAAAATTAAACAACCCACGTAAAGTTCTTAGCACAATATTCAGTATTTAGTAAGTAATCAGTAACATTATCTAGAAACTACAAGTTACATAGTATTATGTCCTTGTGAAAAATGAAGCAATGGGTTCAGAGAATTCCAGCAACTCATCCAGGTCATACACCCAGTTGGCAATGGGCAGAACCTGGATTCAGATCCAAGTCTCTATGACCTTAAAACTCGGCGCTGAACCTGAGCTGTGTTTTGGAATCTGGTATCTGCTGACCTGACAGCCAGGCCTTTGTGTCTATCAGCTGGAACAGAAAGATGGTGCTTGCCACATTGCCGCAAGAACTCAGGGACTGCTTTTCATTTTTGCTTTTGCTTTATTCTTTTCTAGTCCTTTCCCAAACTGACCTGCTACCTCCTTACTCATACATGGGATCCCAGTCTACGAGCTCAGAGGCGGGCAGTGCAGCATGGGACCCCAGCCGTGTGTATGCTGCACACTCTTTCTCTGGCCTTCTCAGCAAGCCTAACAAGAAAAGTTGGCAAACACAGAACAGGGCTAGTTAGACTTCACATCACCCCACATGACCTTTGGGAATGTGATTTACAGGAGACGCGACTGGAGAAGAGGAAAGGCTTACCCTGGATAGCCACAGTTTCAGTGTCTTTTGAAAACAACAACTGGATGGGTTGAGATACACTTGAATCAGGAACATCCGGATTGCATTTCCAGGGAGTTATCCAGGGATTCAAACCCTGAAAGGAAGAGAGGTTTGGCATTCTGGGTTGCATGAAAAACCTCCAACCACTCAGACCCTGGGCCTTGCCTTGCCCAGAGACAGTTCACTAAGGAGTGCCACCTAGACCCAGTGGTGGGCCACGCAGGTTTCAAGTCAGTGCTTTGCCATTCGGGGCTCTGTCCCTCCTGCGGGTCAGTGTGGGGCGGTGGGAAGAGAACTGCGTTGGAGCTGCGGCCCTGAGACTCTCATTAATTAGACTGCAGGGCAGGACCACCAGTTCCCTGAAGCTATCTTTTGTTGATCTTGCTGTTTTAAGACAAAATTATCTCGGAACAAATTTTCTTCTATTTTTAGGTGCACTGTGAATTGTGAAACTGGAGTCTCAGTGCTTGTTTCGTAAACATGCCAGAGACCGTCTCCGGAGACAGACAGACGGATGCGCCGGCTGTGGGCAGTCTATGGTAAGCTCACAGCGACCTTGAGGAATGTGACCTCTGTGTGGCTGGGGTGTCCACGGGGGAGGGGCAGAGGACAGAGCTAACCTGGAACCCAGGCTCTCCGCGGGTGCCCTGCAGCTTTGCTCTGCTGGGTTTTTTGTTTTGTTTTTTAAATTTTGTTACTCCAAACACTTCAGGAAAGGGAGAGCCGCCAGGACCTACAAACCTGTTTGACAGGGGTGAACAAATCCACCCCCAGGACTCCAGCCCAGGCCATCCCTCTGACCCCCCAGTCCTTCCTCCCCTTTCCTCCGGAGGTCCCGGCGGAGATCCTAGAGGCTCTGTGGCCACCCTGGCCCTGAGCCCAAAGGGGAACACAGACGGTTGGGAAAGACCAAATTGGGCCTCTCCTTCACGTTACCCTTAAAGATGCCTGCGGTGTTCAGCTTCTCTCCCACACCCGGGCCGGCTCTCTGTGCCCGCTGTTCGGGGCAGCAGCACGCTCGGGCCGCCTGGAGTGGCCCAGGAGGAAGCCTTGTCTCTGCTCCTGCTCTGCAGGGCTCTGGCTCAGGTCCCCAGCTCTTTGCCACTTTGCCCTCTTGGCAAGAGGGTTCTGTGATTTATAGACAAAACTCCTGCCTTGTGTCCGTATCTGCAGCTCAGACGGGCTTCCCCCTCCTCTTCGCATACCAAGATAAGAGCGCTTATCTTGGAAAGACTTGTTGGACAGATAGGCAAGCTTATCTTGGAAAGATTCCAACCTGGAAAATTCAGCCCTCACTCTGACACTCCACCTCAATGGCCGTTAAAGGAGACACATCCACCAAGCCTGAAATCCTTTCCTCAGCAGTCACCTGTGTGGCAGAGGCCGCCCATCCAAACAAGCAAGGCAGCGTTTTGAGAACCCTGCAGTTCACAATGAAGCCACCGCCTGCACTGGGATTCCCTGCTGCCTCACACAGCCTCTCGCCCTCTACCAAGAAGCATCGAAGCTAAGATGCAGAGCTGCAAGTCAGAGCGTGATTGGAACTTTGAATGAAACCTAGCGATGATCATGTTAATTACTGGAAGGGCGTGTGTTTATATTCCATTCAACATCACTTAAATCCAGTTACAACCACCCAGCCCACAGCACTTTTAGTCAAGGCATTTCAAGAGGTAACATTCCACAAGGTGGCAACCTCATCAGCGTGGAGGACCACCTGGATGACTCTCCTTGAAAGAAGAGCAGTCATCGCCGTTTTGGCGAAACCTGGTCCTATTTCCATGTACTGGTATGTGCAGAGGTGGCTGGGTCTTTTCTTTATCCCTTCGATTGACTTTAAGCAACGCAAATCAGTCCAGCCCAGGTGCTGATGTGTAGCCTTTGAAGCAAACTGACAGGTCAGTGTTGCACCGCCTGTAGCTCCGAGAAATATGGGTGAGCCAGGCCGAGAGAGCCACGCTGTGGGCTGAGACTAAACCTCAAGAAAGGAGACTGTGACTTTTCAGGGCATAAAAAATTGCACATCAGAGTTGAAGCACTGATCACAAAACATTAGATGCTGCCTGGAATTATGTTACGCAGATGACTCTTTCTGCATCTCTCTCTCTGCGTATTACGGAGGTGATTTCAGGCCTTCTACCTAGCCCAGCTCAGGATATATTTCCCGACACTCTCACAGTCACTCATCCCTGAACCATTCCCCTTTTCACAAATTAACAAAGCCCAGGTTCTGCCCTGGGTTGAGGCCTTTGCTCTGGATGGCCATCATAGGAGATGGACTTAGGACCCCTTGGCTCCCCACAACTACAAATATGTCTTAGTGTCTTTATTCCTGTCATGTGTTGCACTGGAAGTAGTAGATTGGAATTAACTTATTCGAATTTCAATAACTTTTCCATGGGACTACAAATGTGGATTTTCCTGGACCTCAAAGACGTCTAGAAGGGCTTAGTGTACTCAGAAGAGAGGACTCCTGTGGTCAGCTGAGCCCTGGCCCTGCTCTGTCCTGCCCTGCACAGCCCCTGATGCTTCTAGAATGTGTGTGCTTATGTGGTGCCTCCCGTGGCCTCTTCCTGGCTGAGAAAACCTGCTTCATTGCTTTCAGAGAGGGAACCGGATCTTAGTCACCTGGGCCCAGATGAAACCACTTAACAGATAAGCACAAGTAAGGAGAGAGAAAGAAAATAGATCCCCCCAGCAATTCGGCTCAATTCTTCCCTCCTTATCCAAGAGAACAAACTGGAAATTAGGGGTAGAGGTTTTGGTGAGAGTGAGCAGTTGTCATTTTAGCTACATTTTATTTTTAAGGTAGAAAATAGGAAAATAACATCTGACCAGGGTAGGTAAAAGGATGTCAGATTTCTTATTTCCCTTCTTCCCTCCTTTCATTGGGAATTATCAATAACCTGGGTGCCTTTTTGTGCATGCATCATGATTGTATCATCCTTAGTTCCAGTGTAAATACTAATGAGCACTGCAGCTTTTTTTCTTTTAAGGAGGATTTGAAAAATCATAAAAATTGGGAAATACTAACTTTTTGAATATAACAAACCTGATTGGTCCCGGAGGGAGGACGCGTCTCCTTCTTGGGGAGAGAGTCAAATAGCCCCTGTGGCCTGACATAGTCACTGCAGCTTCCTCAAAATGCCCTTGTTCCCCGCCCCCCGCCCCGCACCCCCGTGGTCTCTGAAGTCAGTCATTCCCCAGTAAGCGTTTATTAAGGATAATGAACTCGTGGAACAAAGGAACAAACACACCTGGAATGTGCATGGGTTAGCAGTATCACCAGGAGGAGCCCTCGCTTTTCAATAGCAGATATAAAGCTAATGATTACCGGATTCAAGGACAGCCTTGGGTTTAAAATGCATATGTATGTGTATAAAATTAATTTTGAACAGATAAATATCAAAATAACTGATCTGTACTCTTCCTTGTTCCCAAAACATTTAGGGACTGTTATCATAATATGTACATTATAGAAAGATAATGTGAAGATGAAGTCCTAAAGCAGGACAGGTGTACAGTGCAGATATTTCTTATTTGACTGCTGAGCTCCATTCCTGTGACTAAGTCGCTAAATGTGGAATTGTATAATATGCACACTATAATATTCAGAGCAAAGAAATGGCCAAAGGAAACTCCAATTTGATGACTTTGTTTTTACTGCATAACTCTCACATGCAGTACTGTGATGTATAATAGAACATAAAACTACAGTTCGGTACTGCACAGTATAATCAGCAAAAATTACATTACAGTACTGGAGAAGAAGCCACCATCAAGCCACACTGCAGCTCACATTCCTGTGTTGTATGTTGGAACTTGGGTCATAAGAAACAGGCATTAAGTGGGTAGGTCATTAAACAAGGAATATCTGTGTTAGAGCTCTGAATGAATTCAATATTTTTATCTCTCTCCCAAAGAACAGTATGATTCCCAGTTTTAATATTTCCCCCCTGGAGGTGTAATTTTACTACTTACTCAATGAGTTTATTGTCCATTGGAAGATTTGCCTCTGTAATGAGGTATGCAACTGTGACTAAAAGTCTCTCCTACGCATTTACAACATTCACCCTTTTAACTGTGTAGTAATGATCCTTGGCTTCTGCATGTTCACAAAATTATACGGTATAATTTAAATTAAAAGACCAAAACCAAATATAGCCTTTGTTTTTTTCAGTATGTTACAAATGTTAAACAAGATCTCAAGAAGCCATTGTTTTGGACCGAGTTCCTGCTCTAGGATCCAACAGTCCAGATCAAACCAATATGGCGTCACTTTAACTAAGTGACTAGATTGTCAAAATGAAATTTTAAGTGTACAAATAGATTGCCAGGGGCTGGGATTTAGCTCAGCGGCAAAGCGCCTGCCTTGCAAGCGCAAGGTCGTGAGTTTGGTTCCCGGTACCGGAGAAAAACCAAAAAAAAACAAAAAAAACCAAATAGATTGCCAAAATAGAACTGCTTTTCTTTTCCCACTGAATCATTGAGTCAGACTAGTAAGGATGAAAGTCCCCTCTGCTTTAACCCTTTAAACTCATTTGATGTAACACGGTTTCTTCCTTCTATTATTCTCTCGGTTGTTCCCATCTTGCAAACCCACGATTCTTGTCCAGTGGGTACATTCATTCCATTTTGAAGAACAGAGCCGGCCGCCACACATGGATCCCAAATAGAAGCCAATCTGATCTCTACATGTGTTGTGATTTTGTGTTTTGACACAAACATGTTAAGAATTTCTAAGCCCATACTTCGTTGAAGTTAGGCTAAAGAAGAGATGAACTTACTTTCTCACTATTTATTTCCAAAGACTCACATGTTGGGTGAGGATAGGAGACCATATTTTTCATTTTTCAAAAAAAGACAAAAGAACAACATTCACATGTAGAACAACAAGAAAGAGAAGATGAAAGTAAAGTCACAGGGCTTAAGAAGATTTTATGAATCCAAATTCCTAGGTTCTCCACAGTTTTCCTTTTAATCAAGCAAACAGATCCCTTTTTACCAGCTTTTCATTCTGACCCCAAGTTTTTTGATCCAAGATTATGGATAGCCTTTCTGACTCTTGTGATTCTTTTTCCTCTGAAAAACTTTGATCACTCTCAATGATTAGAAGACTGGCTGGCTTTTTTGTGACTTTTAAAACAATGATCTCTTTTCAGAAACTGGCATTTTGGCTCTTTTATATAACATTACAGAGTTCTCCCAGCTGTCACGTCACTGCCAATGGTCAGGTTAAATCTGTATTCATCAATTCTTTTCTAGCTCTTCTCTTCCTTGTTTATGTATTGACTTACACCTCCCAGATCTGAAGCTAATAGCACATTATGCTGAGGCACAGACCTTAGATGCAGTAAAAAAAGGGACAGAGATGGTTTCTCTTTGGCCAAAGATCTCAGGTCTGTGAGCTTTGCCCATTTTTCTAGCGCCAGTTGGGGCTAGCAACATGGCAAAGCGTTCGGGGAGAGCTGCTTTTCTCTGATTCACTTGCTGGGAGCAAGTAACCATCTTTAATGCAAATTTTTTTTTTTTAAAGATTGTCAACCAATCTAATTAAACTTACTAACCCTGTTTACTTAACAAATGGACACACTGATACAGAGAGGTAGAGAGATACTAGCGTGCAAAGCTAGGTCACATGAGAACAGAAAATGTTGCTCCAATATCTAAAAATGTTACCTTACTGTTAGAATTCAAACTCTGTGTCTCTCTAAGTCCATCTGAAAGGCAGACAAAATCAATTAGCAACCCTTTCACCCTCTGGCAAAAAGGGAATTTCTGTCAGAATGCCTTCCAGAAGCTGTGGGCTGCTCGGCTATTGGCTGTTGGGCTGCGCAGAAGCTCAGACACAACTTGTGGGTTTCCCCAGGGGATGGAACTGGCTCCGTCCTGTCTCTCCTCCACCTCTGTCGGCTGGGCTCTCTACCCCCAGGGTGAAGACCACTGCGTGTCCCCATTTGGGGTCAGCTGTCAGAAAACAAATCTGTTTAATATTTAGCTTTGAAGGAAACTGGCTGAAACAAAGATGAAAGGGCTCAGCTCCAAGTGATGGCGAAAAACAAAAACAAGCCTCAATTGTTTCAATATTTCCATGAAAAATGAAAAGATAAAGCCAGTGCAGGTGAGAAAGAGAGAGAGAGAGAATGAGACAGAGACACAGAGACAAAGAGAGCTCCCAAATTCTCAAATCCTTACCACCTCGACTGCTAGACTGTTAATACTGGATGCATATACACCATTCAGAAACACAAGTGATAATCGCCTCTCAAAGCCAGCTCCAAAACAGCTTCTCAGGCCAGTGTCGTCCAAACCACCTGGGAATCTTCCCCAAAATGCAGATTTCTATAAAGTGGGTCAGGGGTAGAGCTAACTCGTAGTTCTACATTTTTACGAGGACCCCAGACACTTTCCTGTTGCTGACCCCAGGGAAGAGACTTAACCACGTGGGTTTCCAATGTGGGGAGCGCACTTTCACACCCCGACGTGCACATGGTCACCTGTGTTAACGCCATCTCTGCAAAGAGGTGAAGAAATGATTGATGCAACTGGCACACCTGAGAATAATAAAATGAGAAAATTAATTCGAGAAATTTGACCATCTGAAAAGTACAAATTTAATGGGGAGGGAAAAAAAAGACATTCATCATGATTTTCATTCCTCCCACTTTTCAAGGTAGCATGAGTTGCGTCGTGAAGCAAATTGAAGTGGGCGCTGACTTTGCCGGGATGTTGCCCAAGTGCCCGCCATCACCCAACAGGAGCAAACCACAGAAGTTTTAAATAAAGCAGATTTTCAGGGTAAGTTGTAGTCTAACCACCAATTTTCAAGAAAGGGGAAAACAGAAATCACAGGAAAAAAAAATATGACCACATAGACAAGAACCGTGTAAACTTATATACAACTTTTAAAGGAAAAGAAGAAATGCAGGCCTACCTCTTTTTCTTGAAATGGACTCCAGGAGAACCGTTTGTAATTTCAAAGCCACTGTGTTCATTCTTCACCAAAGTACAGCGAAGTAGTGTCCCTCTGGCCTCTTAGAAGCAAGAACTAATTAGACTTCGTCCTCAGCCCCTCATGCTTGGCCCAGGGGCCTCGAGCCCGTGCACCATCTCAGCCAACTTGGGGAGCTTCTCAGTCATGGGGTCCTGCTGGGTTTCCTTTCACCGTTTCAGTCCTTAGCATAGAATCCTCAAGAAACTTAAAGCTGAACAGGGTCCTCGGATTTCCATTTAACCTAAACTCATGCAATGTACTAATTAAAAATTAAATTAAATATTAAATAGTCCTTGGCTCCATACCTGATGTAAACACAGCATCTTTTCTTTGCGTTTGACAAGGTTGCCCTGTCTTGTAATGGCACTTGCCCCATGACAGTGAGGCTTCCGAGGGTGGAGGCCCCATAGTGTTGGGCTTTGGTAGGCCACAGGGCGCCAGCTCAGTCTTGCCTTTGACGTGACTGGAATGAACGGCTATAAAATCTCTGATACACCCTGGATCCCTTTCTTACTCCAATACTTGGACACAGATGAAATAAGATTGCAATTAACACCAAGGAAATAGCTGAGAGGATTTCCCACACAGGGATGACTATGTTAGGTGATCTCAAAGACAGTCTCAGGGACCTGTGATGCTGGCATTTACACCCTTGTGCAGTTCCACCCCACACTGTACCAGACTTACTCAGTAAGACGAGTGGAATACCAGAGTGGTGGGACTCCTACCCAAGGTTAGGGGATAAGGTCTTCGGCTTCTTTCTAAAGTGTGTCTCTAGCTCTCGCTCTTGAATCTTGTTCCATGTGAAGTAAACTGCCAGGACACGAGGGGCCCCAGAGAGAGACCTTTGTGTAAAGGAACTGAAGCTTTGGGCTAAGAGCCAGTGAGGAACTGGCACTTGCTCTGACCTACCGCACGAGGGGTCTTGGGCAAAGAGCCGCATCCATCAAACCTCGGGCTGAAGCTGCAACCCTGGCCAATAGCTTCACTCAGCCTCCTGCAGGACCTTGAATCAAATCATCCCCACAAGCCTATTTTTAGAGCCAGAACCATGGACTCTACAAGAGATTAAGTGTTTGTTGTTTTTAAGTTTCAAAGTCTTGGAGTAATATTCTATACAGCAATAGATAATAAATGCAATGACTTGAGATTATTTTGAGATACGAAGGAAAAGATTTATGTTTCCACTTGTCCCTGTCCCGGAGACGATGGTATAAAACAAACCATGTGACTACGACCCTAGAAAGGTCACCTGTCTTCCTGGAACCTTCTCATGCTGTTCATTTCCTCCAGCAATGGCCTGGCTTCCGGCCCCTCATCTCTACAATGTCTTAGGGCCAGTGGAGATTTTCTCATATTTGAGCCACAGTTTTTCTGACTCTCAGTTCTGCTATTTCCAACATTTTGCCTCATAGGCAACCGCGTGCTGAATAACAGGAAAAACAGACATTTGTATCATTATCTGACAGCTTTATTTACTTTTCAAAGTATTTACTTGGAAAGTAGTACGTCTTTGAGGAGAAGCGAGATAACTTGCTAAGATTGCTCACTAAGGGAGAGGGAAATTTGAAAGAGAACCAGATATTTAGACTCTGTATCTGCTCTCACTTGGAAATAATAGGAATAAATGATTCACAGGGTAAGAATAAGCAATTCATTTCAGAATAAACAAATATTATTGACATTAGGTAAAGTTATAGAGTTTAAAGTAATACAATTGATTTCAGGCTTTAAAATGTCCTTTGCATTGTTACTAATTTAAATCACCCTGCCTTAGTTATGTGAATTTAAGGCAATATGACTACATGTCTAAAGGAATTCTGGGTTGCACATTTATGTCCTTGGTCATCTCATCCACCCTCCCTCTCTTATTTTAGACAGGACCTCACAATGTGGTCCAGAGTGGCTTTGAACTCATTAGGTAGCCCAGGTTGACCTCAAATTCACAGCAATTCTCCTGCCTCAGTCTCTCAAGTGCTGGGATTACAGGCATGCACCACCATTGTTGGTGCTTTCCCCTTTTCTTAAACTAACACTTGTATAGTGCTGACTATGTCAGGTTGTTTTCTGAGTTCTTCTCATATAACAACTTATTCTCATTAAAACTCTATGGGGTAGATACCTTCAGTGTGTATCACAGTCACCTAAGGAGCCTGGAAAGTCGTTGCTTCCTCCGCAGAGATTCTAATGTATAAGATTTGAGGGTAGAACCCAGAAATGGGCACCCTGATACACTGGATGCTAAATACCAAAATTTGCCAAGTGAAATGGACATTTCCCATTCCTTTCAACAGAGCAGTGCATTTAAACATCTTTTCTGGGATTAAGGATCCCCTAGCTTTGCACTCAGTGCTTACCTAGCCTGCTCTTTTAGCCTTTCTCATAGATCTCTTTGGCCCTAAGGAGGACTTGTGGCTGACTCAGGCAATCAGGTGCAGCCCTGCAAGACTGTATCATAAAGAAGTGTTTCCAGAACCCAGAGTGAAAGCAGATTCTTTTGGGGCTGCAGGGAGAGAAGTGTCAGCATTTCTAAAGTCAGAGACTAGAGTTTGGTGTCACAGGGACTGTTTCTGGTGCTTGTGACCTATGATGGGGTCACTGTGCTTCTACTGGAATAGTTCTAGTTGTGAGTTGGGTGCTAGTCCTGGATGCATGGCTGCTAAGACCGTATCTTAGCCTTTCCAGAGAATTTGTCAGCAACTGAACATTTTTGGAGAACTTTTAACTTGAACTTAGTGCATAGGTTATCTATTGTCTGACACTGAAGAACCCTGTTTACAACTGCTGGTATAAGGCATTATACGCCTGCAAGTTCCTTCTCCTTATTAGCACCATCCCCAACAGCTACGGAAGTCTATGCTTCATTTATACAATGCTTCTGCTTTGGTCTTTGTTTACAGCTGGTTGATCTGCTTTGGTCAACGTTCCAGTGGGTTTAGGTGCAGGGATGCTAGTGCCTCTGCTGATTATTTTAGGTTAAATTTCTAAAAATAGGGCTCTTTCTCTTCAGCTGGTTTTGAATAACCCCAAGCCTGCTACCATATATGAGTGACTCATTTATTATGAAATAAACATCACCGTTATAATTGGGTCTCAATGAGATATAAGCATTTCTAAACTCAATTAAATGGTTGAATAACAACAAACATTTCTTGGTATAACGACTTCCCACAATAATAAAAGCAATTTAGGCACCACTGCAGTTTATTGTAACGAAATTTGGCTTCTAACACAATTCAAATCTGTCCTTATACCATCACAAAGAACTTTCAGGATAGCAAAATGCAGTGAAATAAAACTGATAGAAACTTATTTGTTTATAAGTGTCCAGATGAATTGCAGGGGACATATTACTCTCTGTTCATCAGTATTTTGACAGAGGCCCGTATAGAATGGTGTAATAGAAAACCTCCATGCTGCCTCCAGCACAGCTCCCTAAGTTCCTGAGGGGGGAAGGATGGTGGGAGGATTGAGAAATAAAGATAAGAGTCAGAATACAGAAAGCTGACGTCAGGTGGAGCCCTCTTTCCGGATGGGAGAAAAGGAACTGCTCAAAGACTGCAGCATGTTTATTTATATATTAGGCAGGTTGATGTCACATGACTCCCCTCTGCCTAGCAATCTGTTTGCCTGGCAGCCTTGGGGCAATTCATGTTCTTGGAGCTGGAGCAGCATGTTCATGTGGCTCACCTGGGGCGCTCTTTGTTCTCAGGGACTGGCCTTGCTCCAGCCCCACACATGATCAATTTCCAGCCTCACCTGCTCCCCACACCTCCAAGCCTCAGTACAATCTCCTGGTGTTTCAAATATCATGAGTGTGAGGATGTAAAATCAAGGAATGTTGCCCAATAGCATATCACAAGACAATGGAATGTGAGTTCTCAAACAAGATACGTAAATGTTAGTTCATGGAAGAGTAGAAGATAGGTTAATTGAAATGGGAACAAAAGAATGTAGATCTTGATTCTTAATGTAGCTGTTGTCTCCAGTTATTGCTCTGAGGGTTCGCTTCATCTGGCTATGTGTCAGTATACTTGCATTTCTCAATGGACACAATATGTCAAGGACATAAACGTAGCCTGCCATGGTTTGTATCTAGATACCCCTGCCAAGCTTCATGCTGTCATAGGTGGGGCTTTTCAAAGGTGGCTGGATCTAGAGTATGTGAATATGGATTACAGGTATGATAACTAAATTAGTCCACTGATTGGTTTAGCATAGCTCTGGGTATGGATAATAGGGAGCCCCACACTGAGTATGGGTGGCACCAGCCAATAGGCTTGTAGCCTAGATGGAATAAAAAAGAAAAGGAGGCTCAGTGCTGTTGCTTCACTGATTCCTGATTGCTTTGCCATGGACTGTCTCTCTTCAGTGATGACCCTCTACTATGGGACCCTGCCTTGTCACCAGCCACTTATTGGCTGAAGCCTCTACAAATAATGAGCTAACCTCTACAAACCTTTCCTCCTTTAACTTGTGGGTGTCAGGCATCTTGTCCCTGCAGTGAAAAAGTAACTAAGATACTGTCCATTATCCTAAAACACCAAAAATTCACAATGCCAGCCTCATAAATTAAACCAGACTCAGTGAAGATTGCAAAGATGGTTTGCTGCTTGTTAAAATGTAGACTGTCAAGTTTAACTTCATCTTTCATAATGAGCTTTGTGCTGTTGAAGTGATGACCCTTTGGTCCCTGGCTGTACCTGAGGCTCTACTAGAGTTGGGGCAGAAGAGACAGGCTATGGGACTGGGTGCAGGAGGACAAAGTTACCTCTTCCTACTATGGTTCTCCCTGGGCAACAGA